AACGGCGATGCACCGGCGACGCCGACGTGAAGCAAATCGGGCTGCACATCGAGCCGCATCAGCGATGCATCGGCGATACGGCGCGATCCTCCGACCCCATCTACTACGACCCCATCTAGAAGGCCTAGACAGTGGCAGTCGCAGGGGCCCGCCTCGGGATCGCGATGGCCTCCGCGGCGGCGCAGGCTCCGCACAACTCGCAGGCCGCGAGGCCGCGAGGCCGCTGAGCCCCCCACGCCTCCGCCGCAGCTCGCGCTGCAGGTGGTCCACTCGCCTCGGCCCGCGGCGCCCTCCCGCCCTGCTCCTCCTCCTCCTCCTCCTCCTCCTCCTCCTCCTCCTGCTCCTCCTCCTCCTCCTCCTCCTCCTCCTCCTCCTCCTCCTCCTCCTGCTCCTTCTCCTCCTCCTCCTTCTCCTCCTCCTCCTCCTCCTCCTGCTCCTCATCCTTCTCCTTCTCCGCCTCGGCCTCCGCCTCCTCCTCCTCCTCCTCGCCTGCTCGCTTCTGCAGGATCTTGGTCGTGGCCATCCCGCCTCCTGCTGCAGCTCCGGCCGCGAGTCCAGCCGGGCGCTCCGCGCACAGGGGAGACGCAGCGTCCGCGCACCCTGGCGACCCCTGGCAAAAAACGGTTGGGTCGCCGCTGGGGGGGGCGCCAGAAGGGACTTCGCCTCCCAAGGTGGCCCCAGAGAAGGCCCAGACGAGGCCGCGGCTGAGCCCTCCACGGGCCCTCCGCAGATTCTGGCCTCCTCCGTTGGGGGCCGGCGCGCGGGTCCCTCAGGGCGGCGTGTCCTCCTCTGGCTCCTCCGCGGCCTACTGCTCCTCCTCCTCCTCCTGCTCCTCCTCCTCCTCCTCCTCGTTCTCCTCCTCCTCCGCCTGCTCCTTCCTCTCCTCCTCCTCCTCCTCCTCCTCCTCCTCCTCCTCCTCCTCCTCCTCCTCCTCCTTCCCCCCTCCCTCTTCATCAGCACTCCTGGGCGGAGGGAAGGAGGGCGAGGGCGAGGAGGCAATCTCGCCTTGGTCCACTCGCCTCGGCGCCGCGGGCCTCGTCCCACGTGGCGCTCTCGTCCCCTCAGACCCGCGCGATGCCATCAAGAATCGCGACGGCCGGTTTCTCGTCGCTTTCGGGCCCCCTGGAGCAGGCGTCGACCTGAAAGGTGTTTTGGCGAGTTCGTGGGCCGCTGTCGTGTCGGCTTCGTTTGGCAGCAAGGGCGGAGTGGAGACAGAACGACAAAAAAAACGAAAACGAAGCGAGAACCCAACAAACATATCCTGCTTGGGTCGATCCCTGCCCTGGGGGACGCTTCCCACCCCCGGAGCCGTCAACAGAAAACGACCGATCGGAGGAAGCAGCCGGCCCCCGGGGAGAAGTGGTCGAAGCCCGGGGGGGGGGGCTAACGCCACAAGCAAACACAAAAAGAGAGCGCAACGTCGGAGGAGAGGGTCCTGCTTCCCATCCCCGCCCCCTCTCTCGCCCAGGGACCGCTGTCGTTTCTTCCCTGGGTCACGTTCGTCACCTCAGGGGGGGAAGGGCGGGGGTTCGGGCGGGAGGGTAACGGTGACGCCCAGTGGCAATTCTTTTCCTTTCCTGGGCAACGGTGCTGGGCGGGCTGTGGCCGGGGAGGCGGGCGGTGGCGGGGGTGCCCAGCCTTGGTATCGACAGTGATGTCGATAGTGAGATCGAGAACGAGATCGCTAAACTGGGATGGACAGTGAGAGCAGACGTGAGATCGACAATGATATTGATTGTGACATTGGTTGTGAGGTAGAAACCAGGGACGACAGTGACATTACATCGCAGCGCAGCATCGTCATCACGCGTCGTCGTTAACCCGAGGGCGCGTCACCAGCATCGTCACCATCACGCCCATCGCATTTGCCAGCAGTTGGTCCTTTCCTCCTCACCTTCTGACCTCCGCATCATCCGAAGGGTGGTCGGACAAGTATGATACCTTTCGCCTTCCCTGGGACAAGCTTCACCGATGCAGAACAACTTCTATCATATACCGCTCGCCCGCAAAACAACAATACAACAGCCTGCTGCTGTTGAAGAAGCGCCGCGCTCTCGGACAGCAGTGACGGAGCAACACGCTGACGGGCTGCCGACGCCAGCGTGTCACTGATACTTTTCTGATGAACCCAAAAAGAACCCCTAACCCTTTGGGAGGGGACCTTAGTTAGGAGGGCCAGAAAAAGTAGGGATATGGGGTCTCTATCTGCAAATGTGCCAGACCAAACCGCCCAAATGTATTGCCCCTGATGTGACGCCGGGAACCTCAGTGAGGCCACGTCTCCATCGTGTTATTAGGGTGAGGGGTCCTTTTGTTCTCAGTGTGTTCCCACCTCCCGATATCAGAGATCTCGGGGCACGTTTGTGGTTGGGTCTTGAGCTTGCTGGCGTGCCCCAGGGCTTCTGTGGCCATCCCCAAAATAGGGCACCGCTGGGAGCAAAAAAAAGCTCCCGCGGGGGCACCTGCTGGCGGGCCAGCTTGCTCCTGTCTGGCGCCTGCT